AAAAAAATGAAAATAAGAACAAGAGCAGTCACTCTGATAATTTTTGGATGTTGAACTTTCAAAGGTATAAAATTGCTGACATCAGGTGATGAAGAAGTCACAAGGAAACAAGTTTTTGGAGTATGGGAACAGGACCATTAACACCACAAAGGGCCCATTGCAAGATGTATAATTACAGCTGTTAGGCATAAAGCATATTTCAAATTATTTTATTATCTAATTTTTTAAAATCTAAAATACCAGATAAGATAACTAAAGAGATCTGATTATTTCAGATAAAATTGATGCAGAGATTAGTAAACTGAAATAAAGGAGCCAGAGAGATCAGACTAGAGAGGCATATGGGGTGCACTAAGAGTTGATAGCTCTTGTAGGCTCAAGTTGATGTGGTTTCTCAGAGTAATTGGAGAAGAAAATTATTTTAGATTTGGCTGACATTTTTTCCACCTTCTGTTTATTGATTATACAAATGTTAGATAATCTATTCTGGTTCATGACCATTTTTACCATTCATTTATGAATTCACAAATTTATGGGTTGAGCTTTCTGGATATAATGACACATAAAAATATGATCATGACGTCAGATGATTTCCACCTGTTCTCAGGTGGATTGTTTTTAACAGTCTTATTTGAGGCACACTTTACATAAAATTTTACCTGTTTTAAATGAATGTTTTAATGATTTTTAGCAAATCTACAGAATGGTGCAGCTATCACCACAACCCAGTTCTGTAACACTTTCATCACTCTGAAGAGGTCCCCGTGCCCATTTTGCTGTCACTCCCCTGTGGCACCCCCAGCCCCAGACACCCACCAGTCTACTCTCTATCTCTATAGTATTGTCTTTTCTGGACACTTCATATAAACAGAATATGTGGGTTATTTGGTCTGGCTTCTTTCACTTAGCATAAAGTGTTGGAAGTTCATCCATGTAGCATGTATCAGTACTTCGTACCTTTATTGCTGAATACTATTCGATTGTATGGATTTACCGCATTTTGATTATCCATTCTCTAACTGATGAACATATGAATTGTTTCCCCTTTTTGACTCTTAGTAATGATGCTCTGAATATTGACATACAAATCTTTGTGTAGCTATATGTTCTTACTTCTCTTGGGTACCTATTTAGAAGTGGAATTGCTGAGTCGTATGATAAATTTATAGTTAACTTTTGAAGAAACTGCCAAACTGTTTTCCAAAGTAAACATACCTTTTACATTCCCTCTGTCATTCTGTGCCTCAGTTGGATTTTAAAATCAAATTATGTGATTAAAAGAGATGACTTAATTTTTATTTATTTTTGGACTAGCCTAGTATCAAACAGAGTAGAGGTTGAGTAAATATTTATTATCAGGTGATTCCTCTTTTTTTCCTTCTGTATCCTAGAGAGATAATCACAGTCTTAAACTGTGATGATCATAGGTTCTAGGGCCTTCAACTACCATGTTGATCACTGTTGAGAATGTTAATTTCAATGAAGTTTTGTCAGGGATTAATTGCATCGAGAAGAATAATTGACTTTTATGTGCCATTTTTAAATCAGTAAGAGAAAGGGACAAAGGGCAATGCACTAAGATGTAGAAATACCCTAACACAAATATATCTCTTTCTCATAGGAGTCCAGAGGAAATGCAAGGGTGGATAAACAAAATTAATTGTGTTGCAGCTGTGTTTTCTGCACCACCCTTTCCAGCAGCCATCGGCTCTCAGAAGAAGTTCAGCCGCCCACTTCTGCCTGCCACTACAACAAAATTATCTCAGGTAAGTCATTTTGATAGCGCTTTGACCTTGGAAAAAAGTACTCTGTAAAATAATCTTATTAGAATTTGTATTTGAGTAGTATTTCATACTATTATAAGGCAGCTGGGACACCTTGCCCTATAAAGGCATATTGTATAAAGGTGGCAAAAGGCAGTTTACTGGGTTTTACACTTCATATAGGAAGCTGACACATTTGAGTCATGGTTAGTAGGACACATTCTTTGATGTAGTTTCTAAAATTTATATCAGTTTACTATTCAATCAGTCATACATGCCTGGCTTTTTTTCCTTTTTTTAAATAACAGCTGATAATTTTTATGTATTTATTCATTCTGTCTTTTTCGTGACCGGTAAGGGGATCGCAACCCTTGGTGTGGTGTCGCCCACACCGCGCTCAGCCAGTGAGCA